CTTGTTGTACTTTGCACCAGGCAGCTCATACTCTGGTTCCCCAAGGGCTACAGCCTCCTGTAACAATGCAGCAGCAACTGTTAGCATCCAAGACTTGCAGAAAGATATCCCGCTCATTGATAGGGCAGAACAGAACTGTTTGCTTTTTGCACTGCAGCATCTTTGTTAATATTTCATGATTCAAGGCAGCTGGTATTTTATCCAAGCAAAAAACACTGGAACCCCCACATCAATATAGGGAAAGCTCAATAAGTGCACCAGGTGTTCTGAGGATATCCAAAGCATCGTTTGTGCATCTGTTTGCACAACTTTATTTAGCCTACTCCAGTTGGGAGACCAGACAAACCGTCTTCACCTAAATTCAGTCTGTCTGCTTGTGCTGCACAGCATCCAAGAGTGGGACAGAGTAACCTGTCGACTACCCCTGAAACCCACACAACACACCCTCAGGCAAGAATTTCACAGTGCACTTCTCATACAATTTTAGGTTGCTGAATCGATCCACACAAACACCCACATATACACAGCTCTATTCTTCACTGTCTTTAAGGACACATTGTTTACTTTATTCCACTTTATACCAGGCCACTTTGAAATTGTGCTTCTGTACCATTTTTGAACTGCAGTTAGACAACTTGGAGATTGCATTATGGCTGGGTGCACCATTGAATCACAGTTAACGGTGGCCCTTGAACACTATTGCATATGGCAACATAGATTTGCAAAACAGACATGCATTTTGTTACAAATTGGCACCCTAACATGTCGCAATTCATTAGTATTGCTCTTGCCCAATCGGACATAATGCATATGCAGCATGTGTGTCTGACAGCAGGTTGGAGTACGAGGAAAACATACTAGTCGTGGGTTGCTGCGGCAACAATGACGAAAGAATGAATGTGGCAGTTTGCAAATCGAGCAGAGTTGGGACCACACCATAGAATTGAGAAAGTGATATTCTGCACCTGCAAGGGAATGCTGTTGAGATTCACTGCAGGACCTGCACTCGCCAATTCCCCCATGATCCTTTCCAAGCGTGTGCCCACATCATTCATCGAGGGGGGTCTCCTGGCAGGATCCACTGAGCAGCACTCCGACATGAGCTGCACCAGACTCCCTGGACAAGTGGAAGGCAAATCACAGGGAGTCTGTCCACACATCTTCTTGTCATACACTGCAGCTGGAGAGCAATCCCCCCTGTATGGCTGGGTTTCTGCAACGACCACATGCATGACAACGCCAAAGCTGTAGATGTCACTGCCAGAAGTGTGGGGCATCCCACCAAATACCTCTGGAGCAACCCACCAAGCACCACCATTTTCTATCATAGCAGTACATGTTGCAAGGGTGCTGGGAACCAGTGAGCTCAAGGCGCTGATTTTCACATTTCTTCCATTGAAAATGACCAGCTTCTCATCCTTGAAATTGCAATGGACAAGTCCCTGGGCATGCACATCTGCTAGCCCTGCAGCTGCCTGCTGGAGGAACTGCAGTTTCAACTTTAGGTCAGCTGGCTTATTGCGCTTTAGCCAGGTCATCAGATCTTCGTCACCCAACTCCAGCAGCAAATTCCCACATTGGGTAATCTGAACGAATTTGACAACAAAAGGAGAGTTGTGACATGAAGCAATGCAGGATGCTTCGCCAAAGGCTCGGGCAAGCTGCGCAGGGTCCCTTTTGTCATCCACAGCAGTTTCCTTCAGGGCAAACGTCCCGCCTTTCCACTTGCATTTGCGTAAAACCAGGGATATCTGCTCACGCTTGTCCACACTGTCTTCAGTAATGGGTGGGAATGCCTTCAGCTGTCTGCTGTGTTCTTGCTTGGAGCCATTCCATTCGTCAACAACAACAGCAGGAACACCATCGAATTTGCAAGCACACAGACCAAGAACATAGCCAAGGTAGCTGTTGAGTGTTCTCTTGTCTTCATCGATGTCTGTTTGTGGAACCCTGTCCTCCAAACCTGAGATGTGTAGGCTGAACGTTTCCAAGAATGCTGTGAGGGCACTGCAGATCTTTTCGACTGCACACTGCGCCTCTATTGCAGTGAAGAATTTCTTCATATTGAATGCCCTGGTATGGTGATGGATCAAAGACCTTCTGATGTGCATCGCATTGGCAAGTCTTTCATAGCACAAATGCTCTCTTGTCCACCACAATGCTCGTTTTGCCTTTCCCAGTGCATCCGGTAAATTCTCCAGCGATGTGGTCTCTTGTAGCTGTTGTTCTAAAAATCTGAGGATTCTGCAGTTGTAGCGCCAGCACTGTGTGATGGCGACAGCGAAAAATCAATCACAAAGCCAACAACGTGTTCTAAGTATCACGAACAACAATAGAAACATCCAACATTTCTTGGAGACCAAAACATACAAGCCTGCTAATACATTTGATAAGACCATCTGAGGTGCGGCAGAACTGAACCAGCAAGAAGGATTGAGTACATCTGGCCACAGCCCTAACCGGAAAGAAGCGAGGTTGCCAACCCAAGGACCGAAAAGGTGCACCAGACCTGCTGACAACCTGAGCATGCCCGTGTTCCAACCTCAGCAAACTCTGTGCCAATACCATGACTGGACACAAAACAACATACAATCAAGCGGTACCAAGCACAAACTGCACGTATATGCCATTGCAACCATACTCACCCTGTCAGGGTTGCAGTGCACAGCGTCATCTCCAGGGTAAAAATGTTGGCCAATTGTTGACATCTTGTCACCATTCGTCCGATTGTCAGCCTCTTCCTGCACTCCTGCCAAACACCAGCACAGGCTTGAGTGCACGAAGTTGCAGGGCACAATCCCCAGCTACTGCACGAGAGTGCTCCCAGCAAGGCACGGACGCGAGCTCCACTTGAATGCACATCGCTGTCGGCGGGAAACCTGTGGCAGCTTCAGCCTGAATGCACCCCAAGCTCTCCCTTGAGTTCCTCGTCCAAACACGGCTGCGAGCGAACCCAGCAACCCCACACGCTGAATAATCCCACAAACAAGCTCGCCGACAACGCCACCATCTATCTGGACGGGCCCCAAGGGGATCAGAGCACAAGCCATCGATGACAAGAATGGCAAGTAGCTGCGAACTACCATTCGATTCTCAGCATTCCCCCTATTAGCCGCCCCCCATGTTTGCGGTCCCTTCTTTAAACAGTCCAACAGAGAGGACACTCTCGAGTCGCAAACATCGGCTGCTTTCGAAGGATAAGAGTAGCCTGGCGAAGTATCCCAGCGCAGTCCCAAAACTTGGCCCCAGTACAAGCATCGCGAGCTGGAGTGGCAGCTTCAGATTGATGCGCCCTCGCATCCACCCTCCCCAGGTCGTGCCGAAAGATCCCATATCCGCAAAGATGCATAATCAGAGCGGCCGATCCGATCCAAGCCGATCGCTGTCGCTCACAGCCGCCCCGACGCGCGCTCATGCGTCCGTCTCTGGACACATTATATTGTCCTTCCTGGCGTTCCGAAGCACTGAAAATGCCATGTCAGCAATGGGTATCTACCTTCCAGCCACCCTTGGGGCCCAACACAGCAGTCTACACTTCCCCGCCCAAGGTGGGCGGTGATGGCCAGTGGCCGGCCTTGTCAGATCCCCTTTACGCACACCAGTTCAGCCACGACGGCGCGTCAAGTTGTCGAGGAAATCATCAAGAGGCTCCAGCCGCTTGTGGGCAGCAGAGGGCGTGGCAAAGGGATTGACCAGCTGCCGGCTCTGAAATGTGGAGCCTGGATGCGTGGGCGCCAATCCGGAAGGAGCGTGCCAGTGTGTGCGCCCCGCAACTTCCGCCCGTGTGCCGCTGCTGGACACGGCGGGACACCGAATGTCCCGACACTTGGGGGGATGGGAGGATCTTGAACGGACGGCATCGCCAACTTGGTTGCGGTGACTGGGATCCAACGGGATCCCGCGACAGCGACAGCCACAAACAGCGGATGACGTCCTGGATTCGCCGGTCGAACTTCAACGCCACCGCCAACTCGCGCTCTCGACCACACAGCTCTGTTCGATTTACAGCAAATTGACGATCATCCTGCAGGCCATTGCAGTCCTACGGCTGGAGTGATGGACTTACAACTCGCCCTGCCTCCTGCCGGCTAGTACATTAGCGCTTAACTGCAAATCCGTTACATTTCCCCCTCTGCACCGGCTGGCGGCTACATCATCCGCCCATTTCCCCCCGGGCCGCCACCCCGCTACACCATCCGCCCTTCCCACCACGCCCCCACCCCCCCACCCCCACCCACCTACACACACACATCATCCACCTTTTTCCCCAAACATTACAATGATCCAGCGCGCTGATTGGCTGACGCTCCCACTTCTGCAAAATAGGCGAATTACGAGCTGTGACCTACGGCCCCCTACCAGAAGTGGAGGCTTGAAATGGTGGATTGCATTAGGTGCAGAAAGGATGAGGATGGCAATGGGGTAGGGCAGCGTGAGGGCTGTGAGGGTAGCATGTATTGTGCAAGAGTGCTGAGGAGAAGTTATGAAAATGTGATGTGTTTTGCCAATGTGTAGGTGAAGGAAGTGCAAGGTGCGAAGGAGCATGGCAGGATAGTACAGCATGGTGTGGTGACAATGAGATTGCCGAAAAGATGAAAGGGAGGAGGATAAGTTTGATGGTGAACATGAAATGGATGGCTGTAGGGTTATAGGGGAAGATGTGTGGATATGAGGCAGGCAAAGAGAGTGCTCGGGTGCATGGCACAGAGCAGAAAATGCTAGTGGCAGTTGGCAAGAGAATGGTTGTTTCTGGACTTTCCTATATGGCATCCATTATTAGGGCAAGTATGATGACGTGAGTTTGTGTCGTTGTATAGATGTATCAATGGATGTAGTCATTGGATGCAGCATAAAGAAGAGTATGAATAGACATATTGTTAGCAACATTAGTCATGTTGGTTTGCATTATCAGGTTCAATGAAGGCTCTTGTGCGCTCATACACAAAGTCGCTCCCAGGTACACTCCCAAGCATGGGAAGCGAGGCCGTGGACAGATGCATCACAAGACAAGCATGTCGACCAAATAGTGTTCACAAGAAAATATTCCCATTTAGCCAATCCCCATTTTTCCATGTTCACAGTGCTTTCATCATCGCCTTCACCATGTTTAGACACACCATATTCACATAATCCTCCCATAACTACTCCCAATAACTTCCTTGCCCTCACACGCTTCCTTGCGCTAAACAATCACTTTGCTGAGTAATCGTTCTTTCAAATTGCATCCCTATATGCCCAAATCATATCAATGTGTCTAACCCAAATCTTACCCTCAGGCCCTTGAACTTCCCAAACCGCACTCGTTATGGGGCAAATCAACTACCTTGGACCCTTCCACCATGGCTCGAGTTTGTCTTTGAGCATTCCATCTTTGGTTTTCCATGACCACACTTGGTCTCCTGCTTTTAAAATCCATTGAATATGCTGCCCTCTTGTCTTGTGGCTTGCTTTTGCATGCTACTAATATGCATACTCCCATAGCCATCCCCACATGGCCTGTAAACTATCCCGCAACTGGTTCGGCGATTCAAATACAAACGAATTGGGAGTCCTCTTGCTTTCTTTTGGTAAAGAGAGAGGTGTGTTGTTGTAAATCTCCATTGCTCGCTCGACCGTCCTGGCAGAACACTTGGGCTCTGCCCACATGCACCTCAAACGGTTCACAAATGTCTAAATAAACCACTTTATAAATCCAATAGACACATGATGATAAGGAGAGGAGTATTCCTGTGTCACTCCCTCCTGGGCACACCATTTCTGCAATATCTTGGATTGCGTGGCTTTGTAGACGTCAAAACACAAGATTGAAGGTGTCCTTTATGATTGTGCCCACTTTTTTAAGACCCGCACAATGTCTGCCCCTCCCGCACCCATTACTACCCACACCCCCGCTTGTCTAGTCAACATGTCCACAATGACAAGAACAAATCGCTTTTTTCCCAACTTTCTCTCAAGAAAAGGTCCTATAAAATCTAGACCAATGACTTTGCCAGGATTCTCCAGCATATGCCAACTACCAAATGGATTAGATGGTTGCGGTCGATTGAACAATTAACACACCCTGCATGACTACACTGTATTTGTCGCCCACTGCCATGTTGGTCGCAGACCCATAACTCCCTTCCATTCAACATAGGGACACCCTAAAAAAAAGCACGTATGCCTGCATTGACATGCTCCTCCGTGGGACTTTTGTGGGTCTCATGCTGGTGCACCCCCCCTTTGGCTTGAGGAAGCATGGGCAGGATGAATGCTGGGACACCCCAGAAGCCATGTGGGAACCAGAGGTGGGCCCGGCCATATGGCATAAGAACAGGAACGGGGACGGTGTCCATTCCCGTCCCAGGAATGGACCCGTTCCCGTTCCCGTCCCAGTCCATTCCAGTCCGTTCCAGTCCATTCCAGGGCCATTCCCCAGGAACGGATTTGGACCGGATTTGGACCGGGCTGGAACGGTGTTGGAACAGATCCATTCCTGCCCACGGACGGATCCGTCCTGGCTCAGGAACGGACCCGTTCCTGACATGGAACGGCCCTGTCCTTGTCCGTTCAGGTCCGTTCCTGTCCATTCCCTAGGAACGGACCATGCGAATTGGAGGTCTTACAAGTTGGGGGGGCCACTGGCGGACCAGTGCAAGTTGCGGAGGCATTCATAAGGCCGGATTTAGGGCCAGGAGGCACATTTTTATAGGGACACCTGACTTGCAACAAAGGCAACATGCACATTGCCCAATGTACAAGCCAGACATATAGCCAAAATTAAAACAAGTCACACACGCGCCCATAGCCTATGGGCCATAGGCCAATTCGAGACAAGCCAATAGAACCCAGAAAATTGCAACTTGTAGTTTACAAGTCGGTGTTGCTAGACAAGAACATCACTTACTCAATGTGTTCGTCCCCCAGAGATGCCCGCCGAGATCGCACAGTATGGCCGGATATCGAGAAGCCCCATTCTGATGCACCACTTCTGGCTGGCACACAGAATGAGTGCCGGGCCACCCACGCCACTATTGGCCATCGAGCACTATTCCGTGCCCAATAATCTAGTGCATCCTCCTCTCGTGGGGCACTCGGCTCACACAAACTCCAACGTTCCGTTAAGAACTCCTGAACATGTCGCGCGATCAACCGCTGTGTGGCATTTGTCAGTTCGCTGCCCGTTGTAGCACTTGCAAGTTGGCTAGGCCCCACAGCACCCTTTGCCCTTGGGTCCCAGCCCCAAGATGCATCATAATCCACCTCGGAGCTAGTGTCAAATGTCTTATACCCCGTGCGCTTCTCCCTTGGCTTGCCACGGTCCGCTGTCCAGGATGGGGTGGCAGGCCTGCTTGCCCCAATGCCTCTGACCACCCAATATTCTTTGCAAATTTAAGACACAATTCTAGCAGCTCAGCCGACATGTCCTCCATCATGGCATCCACCAACATGAACTTCTCCCTGATGGGTTCTAGTACCTTTATGTAAGACCCCAGGGTAGCCTTCCAGGCGTACACTGCACACACGCCATGCAATTCATCAGCAGTACTTCTGACATTTTATATGTGTTTGAATATGTGAACGACACCATAGTGAGAAACAATACACAACACCAACAACACCATCATTAAGTGATTAGTAACGATCTCTCACCAGTGGGGTCCATCATAACCAAAAAGGCCATCTGCTAGACCCACGTAGAGTCGCTGAGTGCCTCTTCTAGCTTCCA